ATATATATATATATGTATATGTATTCCATTGGAATTGACTTATTGTCTTTAATTTGTTATACTATTTTTCTGGGGTGAATTACAAATACAGATCCATGAAATTGGATGGTTGACTTGTACGACCTTCACAGAACTGTGTGTTGCAACCAAACACTTTAGCAAGGACAATGCCTTTGGTGTGGGAAGTACGGGGACAATGTACAAGGCAACACTTCCCAACGGTTGGTTCTTCGCAGTTAAGAGACTCTATGATTCTGAGTATCTTATAAGAAGTTTCGAGTTAGAAATAATGATGGGGAGGTACAGTCACAGAAACATAGTGTCCCCGATCAGTTTCTGCATAGAGAAAGAAAGAAATGAAAGAATTTTGGTGTATCATTACATGCCAAATGGAAGTCTTTCTGATTGGTTGAATCATACGACAACATTAGGGTGGCATGTGGTTATTAGGATTGCATTGGGGGTTGCAAGAGGTTTATCTTGCCTTCATCATAGCTTACATATGGTTCATCTAAGTATTGCCCCCGAGAGTATTTTGTTAGGAAACAATTTTGAGCCAAGAATATCTAATTTTGGAAGTGCCATGTTCATGAACTATGATCTAGGCCAAAACGTTGGATTTGAGAAGAAGGATGTGTACGACTTTGGAACTTTGCTTTTTGAGGTTATTAGAGGGAAATCATTTGGCCAGACACGTAAATGTTTGGGCAATACTAATGATGGCCCTTTTGCGACTTACACTTATGCTACTAATCTGTTCGAGGACCCTTTTGGCTTCTATGATGTTATGGATAAATCTCTAAAGGAGATAGAGTTTGAAGATGAGGTTTCTGCTTTACTCAAAGTTGCATGTGACTGTGTTCATCCTTCTCCTTGTAAAAGGCCCACGATGCTTGAAGTATACAGCAAGATGAGCAACATATGGGAGAGAGATGGCATTTTTGAAGATTCTTTGATGCCCTAGTGTTTTGATTATCTTTTTTATTAAAATGTGGGGGACCAAACCAAATCCACTAAAGAAATACAACAATTCAAGGAAGTAAAAATTAAAAGAATGAAATAAAAGTTGAAGGAATTAAAATGGAGACAGAGGTTACTAAGAGTATAATTGAAACAACCAAGTCAAAGCTTTTAAAGATCCAGAATAAAAGCTTCATGAAAATTTGGTGGACTTGACGGCTCTAGACTGAATTCTAGATACCAAATCAGCTGCTAATTGTTTCTTCTTCTTTTTTTTCTTTTTTTCTGACTTTTGGAAGCTACTTGTTGCAAAGGTTGATCCTCCTTAAGAGCAGTTCAATCAAATCAACTGGGTTGCAAGAAGATTGAATGAGCTAGTGTTTTGATTATGTATTCCACAAACATATTTAGATGAAATGATTTAAAACAATAATTCAATGACACCAACTTGGAACTCAATTGGCAGTCACAATATCTTTTCTCTAACTTGACCTTGCTTTTTTTTGAAGCTTGGTCTCTATCTTGTTAGATGTATTGTTATGTAAATCAGTTATGGAAATAGAACATGTGCCCAACATTATTTTGTATCTTTCTACTTCTAATCAATTTCATAGTAGTGATTTTCTCTTCTCTCTCGTGTCTCTTGACTGAATCATGTTTCATAACATATTTTATAGACTAAGCATACGCATAGCCTGATTTTCATATTTAAAATTAAATTGGCCAACTTATTGTGTAATTTCATTTTTTATGAGTTTATTAATTGTTCACCAATCTAAAACCCGAGTAATTAATATGTTTGAAAAATAATATTATTATATATTATTGAACCGATTCAGAACATATCTCTTAATTAAAAAAAATGCTATACGCAATTTTCAGAACATAAAGCCTTTTAAGAGTCGTTTTTTTGTGAATAATAAGGTTCTGTTGAAATGAGTCGATGCATGACCACAATATAAGTTAAAATCGTTGTACTCGTTTACGATTCAGAACATATCTCTTACTTTCATAAATGACGAAGCTTGGGGTGTGGTGTCGTAGACCCTTACTCCTATTGCCACATGTAAATATTCAATAGATTCATCGAAGTTATTAAATGCGTAGATTTTAGTTAGATGACGAAGACTAGAATAGTCGTAATGCCGTAAGGTTTTGATCAACGGGGAGTATACGCCCGATCACATTGATTGTTGTGGAACGAGGAGACTTTGATTGACTTGACTTGATGCATGCTCCGCAAAGTCCACCAAACACTTTCTAAGAAAAAATGAAGTGGAATGAGTGAGTAGGACTCTTTCAAATACTTTTTTATTATAGGTTAAAAATAACAAATTTTAATGAATGTTACTAAATTTGAAAAAAAAAATATTAAAAGAATACGAGACTTACAAAATTTATAATTTTAAAATAAATTTAATTCTGCCAAAATTTGATGCGAGAATATTAATAAGAAATTATTAAAGAAAATATCACTAAAATTATTCTTCAAAAGTCATTGTAAAAATTATAAGAATTATTTAAAGTAAATATGATTTTAATGAATATTGTTCATGGTCTTGATTATAAATAAAATAAGACAAATCATAAAATCAAGGAAAATGATTAAGTTGATTATTTTTAACTAATTTTATCATAAAAATTAAATTTTATTTTAAAAATATTATTTACTTTAAGTGATTGTGATATTTAATATTAATTAGTGAGTGGATATATAAGAAATAGAATTAATAAGAAATTAAAGATATAAAAAAATAATTCTAAGTAACTTTTAAGACTAATAATTGTTGTTTATAATTAGAATTAAAGAAAAATTCATATTTGTTTTTTTTTTTTTGAGGAGAATAAACTTAACTGATATCATTCAAAATAAGAGGTGCAATACATGTTGGGATAAAATCATAAACGTGGGAGCTAGCATAATATCTTGACACCCTAGCTAAGGAGTGAGCGACATGATTTGCTTGTCTCCGGATGAACCAAAATTCATATTTGTTATTTATAATAAGAATCAAAATAATATTATATACTCTCTCCTTCTTATAATAAAATCATATTAAAAAAAATTTTAAAATAAGTATCATACTAATTTTTTAATATAATAATTTTTTTTTTCAAAATAAGATTCGGTACAAATTTGAATTAGACATAAACATGTTATTTTGCTGAGTTTTAATGAATCAACAAAGTAAATACTTTTCTGAAGTTGCATTGTTTTAGTTAATTATTAACAACAATCATAAACTAATATTATGCATTAAGTATTACTTGTTTGACTTAAATAATTGTTAATCTATATTTATCAATATTATATATATGAGGAGAGTTATAATAACACCGGTGTAACTTTTACTAAGTATTATATCATTCAATAACTTTATATTAAATGTAAATTTTGTAAATCCAATCGTTAGATTGAAAGTTTATATCACTTTATATGTTTATATCAAATTTTGTTAAAATTGAACAAGAACTTGAAAGTAATTAAAGTATTCATATTTTAGTATATTTTGAAATATATATTACGTCAATTTTGTTTTATAAGAATGAAGTATCAAATCATCTTGGATTAATATAAAATTTTGTATATATAATCTAAGAATAAAGAACTTTCAATCTAACGGTTAGATTTACAAAATTTATAATTAATATAAAATTATTGAGTGATGTAATACTTAATAAAAGTCATTGTCATCAATATTAAAATAATAT